TCAAGCCTAATCAAGCCTATAGATTTGATTAGGCTTGATTAGTAATCACTCCTAATCATTCCTAATCACTTCTAATCACTCTTAATCAAACCTAATCAATAATCAGCTGTTTCCCCCTTGGAGTCTGGTCTTACCTGAGTAAGGTGTGGCCATGAAAACCGCGGTATATAGCGGTCCAAAAAAACTGCGGTTTCCAGCGGTTTTATGAAACGGCGAAAGTCAGACCTTTTATGCGGTATTTTCAAACCGCTAAAAACCGCGGTCACATTGACCGCGATGCATAGCGGTTTGAAAATACCGCATAAAAGGTCTGACTTTCGCGGTTTGTCAAAACCGCGGTCAAAATAACCGCGGTTTTTATCAAAAATTTTTTCCGTGGGGAGTTAGCCTTCTTGTTTCTTTATGTTTTATATACCATTTTGTAGCTCGTGAAATTTTGTATCGAATAGTATATAATAGTTGGGGTTTTATTTGACTATGATAGGAAAAGTTGTTCACGAAAGTGGGAAGGGGTCGATTTTCACATAGGAAGGCATAGGGAAAAGTGAGTATTTTTGCAATAACACCGGAACGGCTCGACCAATCATTCTCATCTTCGAACTCGGCCGAGATATTGTTGAGACTAAACTGTGTAGAAAATTTCATCGCGATCTGACTCTCCTTTCAAAAGTTATTGTGTAAACGGCCGGACACACAGACCGATTCTAGAGTGTATGAACTTTTTGAGTACACAAAAACAAATTAGAAAATTTTAATGTTCAATTTATATTGAATATGTTTAATTAGAACTAAAATAAAAAGTGACTAACCTTAATGTTAAACCTTGATTAAGCATTTGAAGAATATCATTTTTAGCATAAATTGAATGTCTTCCTTCACCTGGTGCTGCATTTACATTTAATTGTTGTTGTTGTTTTACGAATTGTGCAACAGTTGCTAAACGTTTTGATGTTGATTCACATTTATTTTGTTGTTTTGATATTAAATTATGAATTGGTGCTGATGTTGATCGATGAATATTTATTATTTCTGATGAATTTTGTTCAATTGTTTCAACAACAATATGTGATTTTGAAGATTTATCATTTATTTTCGAATGATCATTTATATTTGTTGATGCTGTTGTTGTTGTTGTTATTGTTTGAGGAGGAGGAATAATATCAATTAATCTTCTTTCATAAATTCTATATCTTTCAAGAGCTTCATCAAGATCACAACCATTTATTTTTGGTGTTAAATCTTTATCTGATGGATGACCATAATTAAATGCTGATGAAAGATGTTTTGAACGTGGAACTGTTGTACGACGAATTTGTCCACCATTTTGTTGATAATTTAATGCATTTGGTGTCCATCGTGATGAATAAAGACGTTGATGAATCATTTGATTAAATGATGTTGTTCGTTGTTCAAAAAATGATGAAAAAAATTCATATGTATCACCTGTTGGAAATATTCGAACAAAACCACCACGTTGACGATTTTCTTCTTTTATTGTTCTTAATATTCGAATTTCTTCGGAAGATAAACCAAAATATTCTCCACGAGCAATTTCATTTGTTTGATTATTATTTGAATTTGAATTTGAATTTGAATTTGAATTTGAATTTCCATGACGAGTTGGACGATTAGCTGTTGTTGCACGTACAATACGTGTATTACTATTTTGACTTGTTAATGATGATGTTAATGAATAACCAGCAGATATTGGACGACGCTATTAATTAACAATTATATTTTTTATTTTAATTATTCTTTAATTAATATTTAATTCTAATGAGATAATAACAATATGAATAATAATATTTATTTTATTTATAATTCTTATCAAACAAATAAAATGATCATTATTAAAAAAATAAATAAAAAAATTTATCTTTTTCTACTTGTTATGGTTTTTTTTAGAAAATTGTCTATACATATATATATATTGTTTTATTCTCAATTGAATAATTATTTATTTGATTTGAAATAAAAAAAAAAAGAAATTATTATTGATTAACCCTTTCAGGTCCATGACTCAGCTAATGGATGAAATATCTTTGAGACTTTGTATTTAGTATGAGCAGCGTGTATTTTGGATATTTTCATCAAAACTTTATAAAAATCTTTAAAATCATTTTTCGACCCATGACCGTACTTCCCCATGGTGATAATGAAGACCTATTTTGAATATTCCTGTGAGGGAGTACAGTTATAAGAAAAAATCAATTGAGAGTTATCACAAAATCAACCTTTGGAATATGACTAAAAGTCACTCCCAACTTGATTCCAACGCGGAGAACTGAAGTATTTTGATGACTGAAAAAAGAACATTATCCGACCTTTTCCTTTCGTAGAATGGAGTTGGTGGTCGAGAATCCCATCAGACTTACTACCTAAGTAACTTGATTAGGATTATGATTGTTATATAGGTGTATGCAACGAAGTCTCTTTTATGTTAAAGAAAAACCCGTATGTCAATATCTTTTTGGGTTTACGAGTTATCGAAAATTAAAGAGATTTGAAAAAAGTGTCTTTTATTCCGAACAGTGGGCCTGAAAGGGTTAAATAAAAAGTTGTTGAAATGAATAAAATCTTTTTAAATATTTATTTATCTATGATATAAAATAATTGAATATAATAATATATTAATTTTTTTGATTTTATCAATAAATAATTAAAATAGTTTTAAAAAATAAAAAAAATAAAATCAATCTCTTTTATTATCCTATTTAGAATAAAAATTAAATTTTTTACAATTAAATATTAGTTTGAGCAACTTTATTTAATATTTTTTTTTTTGTTTCTGAGAATATTATCAAATCGTTATCGTTTGTTTATTTTTAATTCTATTTACGTCAATGAGAATAATCGAAGATTAGACTAACTGTTAAAGTTAATATTCGTATTTGTTATTGTTGAAGAAATAAACGTGAAAAATAAATTAGTTAAATTTAATGATAGAAAATAATTTTGTTTCTATAATATTATTTATTATAAAGACTATTTTTACTAATTATTTAAAATAAAAAATTGTTTATCTTTTATCATTAATGATAATAATAAATAAACGATTATTATATTATATATATATAGGAAGAAATATTTTCATTTATACATATTATAATTAAATATTTATCTAAGAATTCATTTTTTCTTAATTATGTTTAAAGAAAAAATAAAAAACGTTTTTTTTTTTTGTTAAAAATAAAAATTTGATTTAGTCTATATGTTTTGTTTTTTTCTTCAACTAAATATAAGTCTATATATTGTGTTGAATATGTCGTTTTAATATGAAATCGTATATGTTTAATCAATATTTAAGTAAGTGTGGGAGTATTTGATTAAATCGTTATGGTTTCAATTGTTTATCAATATGATGAATAGACTTTTTCAAATAGTCAACACATTTTGCTTTTTCTTCTCTCATTATATTTTGAAATAAAAAAAAAAGTAAAAATAATAAAGAAACAAACTCGTTTTAGTTGATCAGATTGTGAAGATGATTCATTTTTTTGTTGTCTTTGTTTATTCGAATAAATAGCTGGATCTGTACAAGGCATTGATGTTAAATTAAGAAGATCACAAATCATATGAGTTTTTATTTTTAAATCAATTGGAGCATCACTAAATTATTTTATTAATTAACAATAATATATTTTTTTAAAATAAACAAATAAAAAATATTATTTTATATACATACCAACCTAATGATGGAGATAAATTAACTTCAAGTACCCAAGGTTTTAATTCATCATCAATTAATATATCAAAACCATAAACTTCTAAAAATAAATTAAATTTTAAAAAAATTATTTTTAAGAATTTAAGAAAAAAATGTTTTTAAATTAACCGAAACAATTTCCTCTATTTGGAAGAAACATTCTACAAGCAGCTGATATTTGAGATTCAACTGAAAGTAATGTTTTAATAACAACATCTTCAATAGCCATCATTAAACTAAATGTATCTTTTCCTTCCGATTTTAATAAACGTAACATAGCTGACATTGACCATTTATTTCCAAAATCTTCAATATCAGGATCATCACATCTATTTTAAATATTTAAATATTTATTTATTTATTTATTTAAAAAATAATTTAAATAAATCAAACCTAACATATCGATGACTTCGTTTATTAACACTATAATTTGTTAAATGCATAAATGCATTTTTTATACTTCGACCATTTGGATCATATTTAACTGTTGCAAATCTTTTAAATTAAATTTATTTATTTAAGAAAAATATTTTCCTTTATAAATAATCTAACCTTGTTAATCCTTCTTCATAAAGATAAGCAACAAGTGGATCATATGAAGTAACAGCAACATAAATTCTAACATCAAATTTGTATCCTATAAAATAGAGATAAATATAACAGGATTTTATAAATAAATAAATAAATAAAAATAAAATACCATCAATAAGAAGTGGATTATCAATATATCGACTAATAACAAGATTTTCATCCAATGGTACTTGATCAGGCTAAACATATATATATATATATATATTAATGAGTTTATTATTGAAATAAATTCCATATTATATTTTACATGATTTATTAAAAAAATTCCTTTTCCTTGTGATGAAGCAACTGGTTTAATTATCCAAATACCTTTTTCACGTTGAAATGCAGCTAAAATAAAACTAGAGAAGATAAATAAAAGAAAAAAACGTTAAGTGAAAATAAACCAGAGAAATCTTCAAATTCATAAGGTAAAAGAAATGTTGTTGGAATAAAATTAAAATTTTTAATTCCTTTTTCTTGTTGCATTTTTTGAACATTTTTATAAAGTCGATCTTTTCGTGTCATTTCATATGATCTTTATTTAAAAATAAAATAATATTAAATATTTATTTTTAATATAAATAAAAAATAAATTTAAACCTGGGAAAATGATTAACACGTTGAAATGGATTAAGTGATCTTAAAGTAAAAGGTTTCATTCCACCTCCAGTCCACATTATATTAAATTCTGAACTTGATGGATGAACTTCACGAAATCCATGTCCTTCAAGAATATTTCGTATTAATTTTGTTTCATTTTTAACAAATTTAAATGTAAGACAATGTTTTTCTCCGATTTTTTTTGCTTCTGGACAACGACCATAAACAACTTTAGGTGAAAATTGAATTATTGCAACACGTTTTGAACCATAACGAATTAAACGTGGTACAAGTGCTCTAGAGAAAAAATAAATAAAAAAAAATAAAAAATAAAATATTTAACTAACTTGCATCGTCCATTTTGTTGATTATCTTCATTAAGTTCATCAAAACTTTCTTCTTCTCCATAAAAAATATCATCAGGTGAATCTTCTCCACCATCAAATATAGCTGAATCAACACTTGATGAACGTGGAATAATATCATTTGAATTGGGATTATTTCCAACAACTGATGCCATCAAACTTTTATTTTTCTATTTTAATCCTCAATTTATTATTTCAGATCATCATTTATTTTTTTTTAACCATATATCGATTATCATTACTTAACATTGCAATGATCAAACCTCCACTCAATTTTTTTCTTTTTCTTCAAAATTATTTTTTTTTTGTTGAGTTTATCAACATTTTTTGTTTTTCATTTTTCTCATTTTATTTTATTTTTTTTAAAACTATTTTA